CAGTATGCGTCATGCGTACAGCTGCTGACCGGCGCCCCTCTCACCCCACCTCACCTAGTGAGTGGCGCGTGGCAAGACAGGGATGAGGGTGTCCTCCTCTCTCTTGCAACTCTATGCCCATGGCTGTGCGGTGACTCGCCTCACCCCACCCCATCTGGACCATGGCGTGAGGAGGCTCCCCACTCTCGCCTTGCCACTCGTTGCGCGCCCCACTACCTTTCCCCTTCGCTCGTGTTCGATTCTATAAATGGGGATCCTCCTCAGATTCCCAGTAGTACCAGCCACCCGCCATTAGGCTCTGCACAACTTGCGTGTCCGGCCCCCCTGCCGCCTCATGTCTCGGTTAGTCCGATAGTCAGTAGTTTGTCTCAACTCACCATCACCAGAGAGCTGTAACGTATGGATATCAACATCTACCTGTACCTCCACCCTGCCACTGTATGTAAACCAACCAACCGCTGTGAGTAAATGAATAAACCCTGTGTGTATATGCCATGAACACTAGTGTCTCTCTTTTCTGCACGGGGCCTCTTAGGTCGTACGAACCCGCTGTGTTGCTCCGCTCTTTATCACCGAATCAATAATATGAACCACCGACTTGCTCTTTAATGCGTAACCAGACGCATCACATCCTAACGTGATACATCTACCACCTCTCACTGGACTTTCCTTCAGTTCTAAACATGGAGCATCAGCTTCTATCTAAGAGCAACAGTATTACATCTTAACGTGGTGCGTCGGCCACAGTATCACATCCTAACGTGGTGCGTCGGCCACAGTATCACATCCTAACGTGGTGCGTCGGCCACAGTATCACATCCTAACGATCTCTCTCGCAGTTCGCCGTCACACACACACAGTCACACACACACACACACAGTCACACACACACACAGTCACACACACTACCAGCACTATGGCTGGCTGCTGCTTCCGCGAAGCTGCAATGTAAGCGAGGCACAGGACAGGGCGTCATCGGCGACCTTGGCGACGCGGCCGCGCCTCGCTCCGCCCCGCCGCGCGGCGGGCCCTCGCGGGGTCTTAAGCGAAGAAGATCAGCTTATTAACCTTGCCTCGGCGGTGTGTTTGGCGAGTGGCCGAACGTCACGCTCGCACGCCCCTTATCGCCCAAATCCCTCTCCGATGCCCTACCTCGCGCTCACTCGCCCGGGGACGGCACACCCCACCTTGCCAAAGTCACGCCGAAAACATTATGTACAGCACGTGGTGGCGCCTGACCAAGTGGTCGTGTCAGTGTCGCCGGGGGAATTGAAGGTTCACACAGTTTCTTTTCTGGCGTTGTGCATATTCTTCGGGCAGGGAGCGTGTCAATCCGACGCTGGCGGGGCGTGTGGTCGGCGCAGCCAGGACGTAAAACTGCCCCGCGACGTCGCCTTGCTCCTTATTCTCTCTCTCTCCCTCCCTCCCTCTCTCTCTCCCTCTGCGGACGTGTTTGCGCCCCTCCCGGCTGTAGCGCGAAACCCCGGTGACGTGTCGCGAGCGGCACCACACCACAACAGGAAGCCGCCGGGCAGGGCGGGCCGGCCAGGCGGAGCAGGCCCGAGCAGGCCCCCCAGCGGCGCAGACGAGACGCCCTCCAGGGTGGCGTGGAGGACGAGGACGACGGCCGACTGCGAGAGCTGCCGGTGCGGTCAGCATCGCGTCAGCAATCCCCTGCAGAACAAAGGGAGTCTCTACACTTGCCATATAGCGGCGAACTTCTTCAACTAGTTTTCCACTATACTTACAAACTTCTCAAAATTATGTTTTCCCAATATAGATGTGGTGTGGGGGTGGATGGTAGGTTTGAGTACTCCAGTGCACAAACCATACAAACTACATGGATATATGAGAAAAATGCCGTTTTTAAACAAAATTTATTTAAACACTGAAACAGTGGTTGGATCGTTTTCGCACCATTCACGTCAAATCAGATTTGATTTCCTCTTAAATTATGAGAGGGGAGGGGTGGTTGTTGTAGAGCATTCGGTTCCGGATTGACGAGGGTCACGATAGGGACCAACGCACACAGAAAAATTGTCTCTTGTTTCTAGAGCATGATAAGCCAAGATTGAATTGACTCTTGAAACAATTGACTTAAGTCACCGTCATTGGAATACGTTTTTTTTAAATCTTTTTCGAAAGATAATTTCAGCTTGTTTCAAGAGTTAAATTTACTTGAAGCGAGGAAAAGTGTGCTTGAAACAAGAACCAGTTTTTGTGGGTGGGTGCAGCTTTCCGCGGGCTGCACCACTCCCATTCACTCCCATGCGCCGTAGGGACGGAGGGCGATGAACTCCTTGGGTTTTGAGTTACAAATTGCCTTCCTGCCAGGCAAACTCCACTAGAAACGAAGAGGGGGGGGGGGTGATGGAACTCTCCCTCTTCCGCTGGCAGCCCCTTTTCCTGCCGCCGCCGCCACCCTGTAACTTTTTGGCACAGGGGGAGATCGAAATTAAACATTTTGACAGCCGTGTACAGAGTGGCTGAGGCCGCCGGGAGGTGGGGGTGGCGAGTATGGAGGGAAGATTGAGGAGAACAAGACCGACCACGCAGAGGTGTGTGTGTGTGTGTGTGTGTGTGTGTGTGTGTGTGTGTGTGTATTCGTCGAGGCGCGACGACGCCCGTCGTCCTTGTGTTTGACCGGCCGCTGACCGGCGCGGGGGTGGCGCACGGGGGCGGCGCGCGGGAGGCAGGGGTGGCGGCCACGCTGCGGGACCGCTGACTCTGGCCGCGGGGATTTCATTTCCAGAGCGCCGGGCCCGCGCGGGGCTGGCGGGGGTTTCGCAAGCAGAGCGTATTACAATAAAATCGTTGGACGCAGGGACAGAGACGCCCGGTCACTCCTTTAGCGGCAGGAGCGCCCGCGTTGTGCCGATGGGGGTCTGTGAGCGGCGCGGCCCTCCCGCCCATCAAGAAAAAAGTTTTTCTGTTATTTCCGATGAGTTTCGCGCACACACTCGCGCGCGCGCTGGTGGTGTTGGTGTCCGGGCTCAGCGGCCCGCTGCGGCCGCAGCCGCCGGACGGCCGCGCCGCTGGCCGCCCCAGCACCGCCCTTGGGGATCACTTTGAACTGGTCTGGAGGTCGCCCCGAGGCCCCCGCGCCGCGTCCACGGCCAAGGCCCGTGATACCACGGCTAGCGGCGGCCGTCAGAACTTATGACATGACGCCGCGGAGGGGAGAAGGAACGGTCTGCTGGTTGCACCACTGTCCACCTGCTCATCTATGCAAACCTTTCACAAATACGTGATTAGTTATGTTCAATTTGTACATTGGTGTATGGCCTACGTACAATTCTACTCATAACTATGGCTGCACAAAATTGTGCCTTGATGCACAGCACAATGTGTGGGTTTATTCTGAAGTTCAGACGGTCGGACACAGCAACCCGCGGGGCGTTCATGATTTGGCCGCGGGGCTTCAAGGTCGCGCCGATCGGTGCCCAAAGCAATGAAATGACAAATAAAATGATTAGCCGACGAGTGACCACTCCACTCCGGTCCAGACCGCAGAGAGGTGTCTGTCTGCCGCCTGAGTCAGAGCCATCGCCTATGGGCAGCTGGCCCGTCTCCCGCCCGTCTCGTGGCCTTGATATTTGGAGTCGTACGCCTCCACCGAAATCAGCAAACGGGAAATGCCATACTCGCCATCTCCCGCCCCTCCCCCCTCCCGGCTGGCACACCGTCGCCGCAGGCTGCCGTGCTTGTGGGCTCTGCGACCTCTGATTACATTTCCGCCCAACGCTTTAACGTTGTTTAAGCAAACAAGGTGTGAAACGAGACGGTTGCCACCACTGCTCCAATCCCTCCCTACATTATCAGCTGCTCCCCTATTGATTTATTTTACGCTGATCTTTAATATAAATTTGATTGATATGCGGTGGGTGCGGGTGGTTGAGTTTTAAGCAATAAATTCTAATCTCCCGCGTTTAAGTCTCTGATTAATTAGGCAAATGACGGCTCCTCGACTGACTGGTGACATTACCGTGGGCGGTGTACTCGCTGACGTGCGGCAGGGTGCTACGGGCGGTCATGTGTCAGTGTGGCCAGAGCACACGCATACGAGATGCGCATGCACTTTGTCCCGCCCTGCAACGTCTTTTGTCTAGACGGGCGGAGGAGGGGGAGCGACGGAGCGAGGGAGGGCGATTGGGGGGCG